GGGGTGAGGGAGGTGGCGGCGGGTGAAGAGAAAAGAGAGAGAACTGAGTCGCACACCTTTGTGTCCGTCTCGTCGGCCTCGCCCTTGGAGTGGGCCGTGGCGGTCGTGCAGACCGTCTCGTTGCTCGTGGAGCCCGAGGCCTTGATCGGATCCTCGGAGACGCAGAGCTCGGCGAGCGGCGGCGGCGGCTCCGCGCACCACACAGGGGCGGCGCCGCCGCCGCACGTGAGACCGACGGAGTTGGCGGTGGAGTCGGCGAGCGAGACGTCGCCGTTCTTGACCGCGCCGGCAGCCTCGCCAAAGGAGGCGATCTCGGCGTCGGCCGCGGCGCCGATGGGCTTGAGGGTGGTCGGGGCGGCGGCGCGCGAGGCGGCGCCGCTGAACTTGGAGATGTTGAACGGGAAGGAGAAGGTTGGATGGAAGGTGGCGACGTCCGGACAGGCACCTAACAGCGCCCACCCACCCCCGAGGACGTCTTGGTGGAGCAGGAGCCCCGCGGCCTTGTTGGGTTTGCGCGAGGCAGACGCCGCGAGGGCGAGCGACGGCGCGTCGGTCTCGAGCTTGATGCTGAAGTCGGTGCGGTTGCGAGTGTCGGTGAGTGCCCCCCCGCGCCGCGGATGGGGGCGAGACGCGGCGTTTGAGGGCGTCGCGAGAAGAGCGAGGGCGAGCATGGCGGCGTGCAGCAGATGTACCCCCCTCGTGCAGAGAAATGCACCCCCCGAAAAGAAAAACCCGAGGGGTGGCAGTCGTTTGGCATCCCTGTGTGGTGGCATCCGCACGAAATGGCAGAAAAAAAACGCGTACAATTGTGTTGTTCAGGGCGGCTCGCACAGTAGTGTGTGTACGTTGGACGAGGTGTGGTGTGGACGCGAGAATACTTAGCTCCGCCGTTCATGGAGGTAACCGATGCGAGTGCGCGGCGCATCCCCGGCGGCCGGTTGCTTCCCCCAGGATTGGTCTTCTCTGCCTGCGGGAACACCCTCGGGCGGCCGGGTGGGGCTGCGGCTGGAGCTAGCATGGCTCGATAGAGCCGAGACCCCGTGTTGAGGCGGCGCTCCTTCGGGCGGCTTTTTAGAGTCGGGAGATATGCGGCAGATCTGTCATGAACTCATGATCTCCCGATCTCATCCCAGTGATGGACGTCCGTACGTCCCTTCGTAGTAGTTGTGTTTCGGACGGCCCTTCGTAGTGTTCTCCCCGTCCGCCTGCGAGACTGACTCTGTCGCTGGCGGCCGCAGTCTTCTGTGACCCACCCACCTCTCCCTTGTGTTTTGTCTTGGGGAGGGGCTTCTCCTGCGGAGTCGTGCGTGCGCAGGGCTCCTCTTTTTGCTTTCTTCTCTACTCCCTACTTAAACGTTAAAGATGCCTACTATCATCTCGTTTCCGTCCTACCAAGGTAAGGACTATATTAAGTCGGACTAAGGTAAGGTAAGGTAAACTTCTCCACACACACGAGGTGGTGGGGCAAGGGGGGGCAACCCTCGCGTCTCCACGTCTGACACGACAGGCGCCCCACGGCATTCAAAGTGCAAGGCCCAGTGCGCGTGGGTGAGCGGTGTGTGTGTGTGTGTGTGTGTGTGTGTGTGCCGCGTCCCTCTTACTAGCTCTACTGTACGAGGGGGCAAGAGACCCAGTCGCCAGTGGCTTATTGAATTGAGAGAGATTAATTAGGAGCCAACATTTAGGATCTGCACGAACTTTTCTTTTACGTTGCGGGCGCTACTGTACCGCCGCCGCCGCCGCCACCTCCGCGTAGCGGCGGCTGATTGCGTCGAGGATCTCCGCCATCTGCTCGGCTGTGAGCCACTTGTACGCGGCGTGGAAGCCAAACGGGTCGTCGGCCCACACAGACTCGACCGAAAAGCGCATCCCCTCCCCGCGGCTCGCGACGCGCCCTCCCACCTTGGGCATCGACTCCACGTAAAAGACGTCCTCGCACTGGCCGCGCAGGTAGCCGCACGCGTCCAGGCACGCGAGAGTGCGGGACTTGGAGCGGAGCGAGAAGCCGCCGTTGCCGCCCACGGCGGTCAGCCACGGCTTGCCCGCGCACCACAGCTCGTCGAGCGCCTAAAAAAGAAGCCACGAATCAAGACAAAAGAGAGCTGTGCGCGACACACCACACCTCGTCGATCGCCCACGGCGCGCCGATGTAGTCGCACGACTGGAACTCGTCGACGCCTAAGCCTCAGGTGAGCTCGAGTGATCTCGAGTGATCTCGGGTGGCGATCTCGAGGCGATCTCGTCGGCGCCCGGGCGGCAGACGAGCGAGTCGGTCTGGAAGATGAGGACTCGCTCGGCGGCGGCGCGGCTCCACAGCCAGTGCGTGCACATGAGCTCGTTGTGCGACGCGTTGGTCAGGTTGTCCACCTGCAAAAAGAATAAAACGGCCGCTCCAAGAAGAAAGAAAACAGGCGGGGTCAACCATGCTGTCCGCCTAAAAAAGAAGACAGATCGTGGCGCCAAGAAGAAGAAAACCGAGCACTCCGTTGGTCAAGGCTGGTCCACCTCCAGCGAGACGAACTGCACGTGCTCGAGCTCCTCGGCGCGGAAGGAGGAGCGGAGGTGCTCCAAGTTGGTTGTGCCGTGGAACACCTGGGCGCGACGAGCAGCTGGCCCGAGATCACCCACGAGATCACCCACGAGATCACCACGAGATCACCACGAGATCACCCACGAGATCACCACGAGATCACCCACGAGATCACACGAGATCACCCACGAGATCACCCACGAGATCACCCACGAGATCACACGAGATCACCCACGAGATCACCCACGAGATCACCCACGAGATCACCCACGAGATCACCCACGAGATCACCCACGAGATCACCCACGAGATCACCCACGAGATCACCACGAGATCACCCACGAGATCACCCACGAGATCACCCACGAGATCACCCACGAGATCACCCACGAGATCACCCACGAGATCACCCACGAGATCACCCACGAGATCACCCACGAGATCACCCACGAGATCACCCACGAGATCACCCACGAGATCACCGCAAGACGTCCCAGCACAACCCGAGATGACCCGAGATGACCCGAGATGACCCGAGATGTCCCGAGATGACCCGAGATGACCCGAGATGACCCGAGATGACTCCATATGGCCCGAGATGACCCGAGAGGAGCCGAGAGGAGCCGAGATCACCCGAGATCACCCGATCTGGCCCGAGATGACTCGAGCTCCAAGCTCACGCGTCACCTGCAGCTGCCACGCCGGAGGACCGGCCGCCGCCGCTCCGCCGCCGCCGGCGCCGTTGGCGCTACCGTTGAGGAAGAGCATCGCATTCCGGATGACATGCTCGAGAGCGTGGTGGGGCCTACGAGGTGAAGAGTACCGGCCATACACCCCCGCAATACCGCGAGCAGCTCTGCGCTCGAGCGTGCGGCGAGGCCTCGGCTCGATGAGCAGCGCGACGTTGCTAGAGCTGCCGGCCGGCGCGACCACGAGCGGCAGCCTAGTGAATGAATGAATGAATTGATTAATGAATTCGTGGTCTAGCTGCGGCCGGCGCGACCACGAGCGGCAGCCTGCGCAGCGCGGCGGTCTCGCGGCCAGTCACAAACTCGTCAAAGAGCTCCTGCCGAGATCAGACGAGATCAGACGAGATCAGCCGAGATCAGCCGAGAGGGGCAGAGAGGAGCCGAGAGGAGCCGAGATCAGCCGAGCGGAGCCGAGAGGAGCCGAGAGGAGCGAGAGGAGCCGAGAGGAGCGAGAGGAGCCGAGAGGAGCCGAGAGGAGCCGAGAGGAGCCGAGAGGAGCCGAGAGGAGCCGAGAGGAGCCGAGAGGAGCCGAGAGGAGCCGAGAGGAGCCGAGAGGAGCCGAGAGGAGCCGAGAGGAGCCGAGAGGAGCCGAGAGGAGCCGAGAGGAGCCGAGAGGGGCCGAGAGGGGCCGAGAGGGGCCGAGAGGAGCCGAGAGGAGCCGAGAGGAGCCGAGAGCAGTCACAAACTGCCAAAGCGCTCCTGCGGGGTGCGGCAGAGCGCGCGCGGCATCTCCTCCGCCCGCGGGTGGTACCCGAGCACCTGCAGCCCCCCCAAAAAGAAATCGTGGACCGCTCCGCCTGCACCCGATCACCTGCACCCCCCCCCCCCCCCCGCCCCAAAGGAGTCGTGCGCGCCGAGGAAGGAGCCTCGCTCCGCCGGCACCCGCGCGTCGAGGGCAAACACGGGAAGCGTCAAGCCCCCCACTCCGCCCCTTCCCATCCCTGTGTGGTGACAGCCTGTGCGGTGGCGGCCTGTGTGGTGGCGGCCTGAGTCCGTCCTCCCCTCCCTCCCTCGGCCTGTCCCTTTTCTTTCTGTCGTTCGAGCACCTTCGCGCGCAGCGCCGGCGGCAGCCTCTCCGCCACCATGCCTAGCACGGCACCCTCGCGCGCGGCGCCGCCCGCCGCCGCCTGATGCGGGAGGAAGTGGGCTGGGAAAGGAGAAAGAATAGGTGGAGCC